CTCGAGCATATAGAGAATCAATTGTCTCATATAAGAGTCACTTGTCCACTCCCGTTGAGTAAACCAATTTAAAGTGTGTTTGAATGTGATTCTCTTTTTGCTCCTTTGGAGCAGATAGAACCAGAAACTGAAGTGTTTGGGTGAAAGTGCAAAAGTGATTCTACTGCTATAATTTACTCCTAGAATCAGTTCTTTTAGAAGTTGGGGGAGACCGGCATCTGAAAATTGATACTGATTCTGCTTCTACTTTAAAAAAGAAGCATACATAATCAGTTCCAAACACTCCCTAAATTATCTAACACAATCACTTTATGACTTGTGAGCTAGATTCTTTGAGGTGTCAAAGATTAGAGACAGATCTAATTTATTGTACATGTGAGTCAATTAGGCTGAACGTAGGGGGTGGGGGTAGAGCTGGTGGTATAGTAGGGGTATGAGTAGGCAGTGTGTAGGGGTTACGGGTATGGGGTCGCGTAGGGGTCGGTAGGGGTGGTGGGTGGGTATAGGAGGTATATGGGTAAGGGGTAGGGTCATGATAGGGGGTAGGGTAAGGATACATGAATGTTTGTGTGTCTATAGATGCATGTGTAGAATTATTTTGGACATTTTAATATTAAATGATATTTTAAATCCTGTAAACTAAACATTGGTTTATGACACTACTTATTTTACAAGTCGCTTTCTAACGCAAGCCTTTATAAGTATCGCTTAACAACCTGTGAAGTAAACACATTCTTAGTGATTACATTTATATTTTTGCCCACAATAAACCGAAATAATAATTACTCCCTACTACTCCGCTCATATATAAATATAGAAAAACTACAATTACTACTAACAAAGTGCCCATATATTTCACTACATGTATAAAGCCCATATTAAAACTACACATTTTTTAATATTTTTATTTTTATATGTTTAAAACTACAATTATTGTTTCGTGTGTATAGTAAAATAAAAGTACAACTATTGTGGACTTTAAGAATTTAACATGTATAGTGGTTAATTTTATTCATTATAAATTATAAATTTATAGTGGTTAAAGACAAAGTTAAATATTGGAGAAAGAATTGTTTACTATACACAATTGAAGATTAAGAGCATCTTTAATGGGAGGCTGTCAACATTAAAAAAATTGTGACACATGGCAATATATTATTGGAATGTTTAGCCATGTAGGAAGAATGTTAAAACTTACGTTGCAACACATTGATAAAGCACCGAAATGGTCTCCAATGGGAAACTAAATACAACAACCAAAAGCTCTCCACGTTGCAACAGTTTGCACAAGTGGGGGTGGAAAGTTTATTTCTTACACGGGTGGTTTTTTTTAAGGGGCATGATAATTTATATCCGCTTAAAAAGGCTGACTCAGCATGTAAACAACAATGTTATACAAATACAGTGATGTAAACATTGTCGATTTTTTTTTTTGACAAATCAGCATTACATGCGATTTAACATGCTGCGTTGTAAACAAGTTTTTTACACCAATGTCTAAAGCAGATGACGTAGCCATCGTTTTTAATGTGAACAGCCTGGGACTGGAGATGCTCTAAGGAATGGTTTATTTAGGATGTTTTTACTTGGACTGTAATTTGCTGGTCTGGTCTGGTCTGAACTGGTCTGGTCTGGTAAGGTCTGGTTTCTTTGTATTTTTATAACTATCCAAGTCTGGTCTGGTCTGAGCTTGTCTGGTCTGGTCTGGTCTGGACTGGTCTGGTCTGGGGAAAATTACAGTCCAAGTAAAAACATCCTTATTGTTTGAACATGTAAGAAAGAATTAAATATCAGCCCCCGTTTCTTTTTCTTATCAGCCCCCGTTTATCCTTTCGATATTGAGAGACAAGAGGAGTATCAATCTATCTTCGTAGTAAGATAGAGACCCGAGAAAGATCGATCTGTTCAATCAATTAGCCACCCAACAAAAAGTCAATTGCTTGGTTATTAGTATACTTTTTCGTATTCGACAGGTTTCAGTATACCATTCTTTTCCTTCTTCAGTTGCAAAAGCCTTTCGGAGATCCATAGAAATCGTAGCATCAGGCTAGCGGCAAGCAAGGTGAAAGACAAGTTGGGGCGTCTTGGTGAAGCAGAGAATCAGAAGGCCGGGATTTCAAATTCATGGATTTCAAATTCCATAGAATTTGATTAAAATCTCATAGATTCTGTATAATTCCATATAAATCCATCAAAATCTTATTCCTTTAAAATCCTTAACAATCCATATTGGGGACACCCCCTAAATGACGGAAAAGTATAAACATAATGAAAATCAAAACGAAAAAAGAAAGTGACGGAAGAAATCAGAAAAGAAAAATCACCGGCAAGCCAGAGACAGAAGAAAAGGAGAGGAGAGAAGGAGAGGAGGAGGAGGAGGAGGAGGAGAAAAGATAAGAAAAATCTATGATATCCTTACCGGCGCTGCACTGCGTCTCCTCCTGGCTACCTCATCTTTTGCTAATTTCAGTAGGGATTGAATACTGACTATATTATGTGCAATATATTCAAATTGGCCATGTATATTTATTTCATAGTCATTCAAAGGCATCTCCGGCGACCTGAATCGTTTGCAGCGCTCGCCTCTCCATATTCGGCGACCTTCACCCCTCGGCTTCCAGTGAAGTTTCGAATTGACGAAGGAAGAGAGCTAGTAACGTGAAAGTGAAGACGACCATACGCTTACAACCAAAATGAAGCAGGGCAATCTCTGTACGATGGCACTTCTATATATCTCACAGATAGAAGGCAGCAGCTCCTGTGCAATTAATTCAGGGCAAAATTGGTATTAAGCAAAAATATAGTCCTATTTAAGTTTTAAAAAGTAAGAGGTCCTATAGGGATACATAGGTAAAGTCCTGGTCCTATTTAACCCCATTTCTCTTTTAAAAACTGATATCATTGGAAGAAATGTCAGCATTTGTGTTTACCCACTAATGAGGGAGGGGTGGGTATTAGATTGATCTCATATATTGAAAAGGCATTCTCTCTCAAGATTTGGTGAAAATGGTAACTTAATGATTCATTTTGGGCCATTTTTTGTCATGCTAGATATCCAAGGAGAGCAAATATGAGCCCAAAAAATACTTATTCAAACACTTGGAAAAGGATATGCAATATTAACACTAGGGGGAATGTCTTACAAAGACCAAGGGGATTGGTAGGCCAATATGGATTTCGTTCAGCCTTTGAAGAAATCAGAAAAAAGGATCTCCAACCTTTTCTTGCAAAAATATTTGGCATAAGAACCAAACTATGCAAATTAGAATTTTCCAATGGAAACTTTTTCACAATATGCTTCCTCTCCCAGAAAATTTACTCGGATTTAATTTGTTTGTTTACCCTACACGTTGTCCTCTTTGCAAAAAGGAATCAGATTCCATTGATCATATATTCTGTCATTGCCCGGTGGTTAGACCTATTTGGGAATAAGTTATGGGAATTTTTGGGATCAACAAGCTCTATTACCCAGTTCAATCAGACAAATGTGCTTCCACTAGTGAATGAAAGCTTACCTGAAGACAAATCTTTAATGCACATTTATAGACAAAATCTACCACACATCATTACATTTGGAAAATTTACTCTAAGCTGATATGGCGATATGTTTTCATCTCCATATTTCAATTTCATCATTCTTCAAATAAAAGGCTTCACTCAAAAATGGTCTCACAGTTTGCACAAATTAAAGAAAAAGGTCGACTTTGAGCTACTTAGAGCCGAAAATCTAATTCATCAAGATTTTAGGATCTCTATCCCTAGGTTGAAGAAGGGTAAGGTGCATTCGGCCTACTAAACATCTCAAAATGAATGTGGATGCTTCATTCTTACTCGGAGCGATTATGCGAAATGAAGCAGGCGAACTTATCTTTGATATGGCCCTCCACATCTCAACCGAATCCGTTCTTGAAGCAGAGTTTAGAAGCTCCTAGTTTTACTGCATTCGAAGCCATTGAATTGGATTACGTTGATTTTCATGTCGAATCGGACTCCTCAGGTGTTATTGTGATGCTTAACGACGTGACTTATTCAGGGAGTTGGAAAGACTTAGCCGATGAACTATGTGGGGTTTCCAGAAATGTTATGGTCTCTTTCGAACATACCTTACGAGAATGCAATATAGCTCATTATGGTCTCATTATATAGCCCATTCAATTATAGCTCAATTTGCCCCCAATTTCCTTTTCGCTTTTATTCTCTTAGTTTATTGACTTTATTTTCATGTTTTTACAAAGGGAATACCCTTTCAGGAGAGGTTTAAGTCCAGTCCTACTATTCACATATATTCTTCATTCATTTCAATAAAATTCGACAAATGTTCTCTAACAATTGCCCCACCGACTTAGGTGGTTTACCACCGGGTTAAAAATAAATCGGGTCAGGTAACTGTAAGTCTGTAACTGGTCATTTGATAATCATCTCGTAATATTTTGAAACCGACATCAGAAGATGAGTTTTAGAACTCTATAAGATCTTTCCAACGAAATACAACAAGGTATGATAAGATCAAATTCTACAAGAGTTCAGATTGAAATCAGAAACGTTTGTGAATTTCCGGTGGTTAATCTGTACTATTTACTTAATGCATTATAAATGAAGTCGGAAAAATAGATTAAGAACACAAAATGATCTTTCCGACGATATATAATATGTTTCAAATGGAAAACATTCACCAAGATATTGAGGAATAGTGTAAAATATCACACCTTTTCACATTTATTTTAAATTAATTTTATTAAGTATATCCTTTAATTATGACACTTATATGCCCCATTAATGTAGGGGCTTAGTTAAAGTCTAACCTACGCCCTAGCCCACCTTACATTTAAATTCTAATTAAGTTATTATAAGATAAAAAAATCGTGCACAAAAAATCAAAAAATGTATTTGGTCATCCCAGTGTATCTGTAAGAATTATATGTCCGTGCAACACACGGATAGTGCGTGCAACACACGGATAGTGGGTAGTGTAGAACAGATCGAAAATAGACAATCATAATGGAAGAGAGGTTGTACTAAATAAGCTTACCATATAGCAATACTGTATATCCGGTTGTAAGAAATGCTATGTATATGCAGTGATTAAAGGATTTAAAGCATGATTGAAGCAATATATATATAGATCAAGTATAAATTATCAAGTATAGTACTTAAATACAAACTACAAAGTATATGCGAAAGTAGATTGATTTCTTTAAGCTACATCAAACGTACGCTAAAAGATATCGGTACAAGTAAAAAGCATAGCGAATGTATATAGAGAGTACTGTTCAGGGCGAGATTGGAGAAGCGCAGCGCTGCGAATCTCCTGGTCGAGACTGTAAGCACCCAATTGGAAACCACGACGCAACATTTATTCTTATCTATGCAAAAGACGGAGCACTATCCGGTGTTTAGCGACGTTCAATTAAGATACTCGCCGAAGAAATTGCGGACTCGAGTCCACAAACTCTGGTTCCTCGTTTCCCTGTGATGATCGAAGCCATGATAATGGCGGATCGGCATGTGCAGTCCGAGTTTCTCTGCATCCTCGCCGCGGTGATGGTGCTGATGCGCGTGCTGGTGCAGGAACGGCATCCACTCCGGCGGAACTCGTCGATCGTCACTCTCACTGGCAGGGAGGACCATGTCGTTGCCGAAGGGGATCTCGGCGCCCGATCTCAAAATCGGCCGCGGTTTTTGGCCGTGGCGGAACTGATGGCGGCATCCACCGAGTGGGAGGACAGATCTGAACCAGAAGCGGCGATTGATCGGGCGGATTTTTTGCAGATCCAGCGTCGTGAACTTGACGGCGCTGGCTTTCTTCTCTGAATCGGTGGTATCTTCCTTTCTGTTTGATGAGTCGCTGGGGAGGCGAACGGAATCATCAGAGTGCGCATCGGATTGCGCGAGTTTGTGAACTGTGACGTCATTCACCGGTTTGTTTCGTAGAGAACGGGCAACAGAGAGGGTGAAGAGCAAAAAGAGAATAGCAATGGAAAGCTTCGACATTGTTAGGGTAAATCGGAACGGGGTTGCTGTAACTTTAAATTACCCAAATGTGTAGTATTTTGTTTGTACGAGTGTATGTATATATAGGGGAAAAGTGTCAAATAAGTTCATGTACTATTAACAAAAAGTCAATTGAGTCCATCTACTTTTTATTGAGTCAATCAAGTCCACAAACTATCAAAAAACGACCAAATAAGATTTTTAGTCGGTAGTCAACCGGTTACCCGGTTAACCACCAACGTGGATGTCCCACGTGGCATTTTGTTACTGTTTTTTTTTTAGTTTTGTTTCTTTTTCCCCTTTTCTCTTCCCTCTTTCTCTTTTTTTCAAATCTTCTTTCTTCTTGGTCGGCAACTCCCCACCTCTTCTCAGTCGCACCTCTTCTCCTTCGCAGCCGCAACTCTTCTCTTCCCTCTTCTCCTGCTCGATCTTCCTTCTTCATTTTCTTTCTGTCTAGTCGCACCAATAACCCTCCAATACTCTCACCGGAAAAACTCCTTCAATCCTCCCACCGGAAAAACTCCTCCAATACTCCCACGGGAAAAACTCCCACCGGAAAAAATCCCACCGGAACCACTCCTCCAATACTCCCACGGGAAAAACTCCCACCGGAAAAAATCCCACCGGAACCACTCCTCCAATACTCCCACCGGAAAAACTCCGCCGCCCCGGCCTCTCTAGCCACCACCATCCGCCTCTCAGCCTCCATAGCCACTTCCGCCATACATACCGCCTCCGGCCACCACCTGTGTGACCTTCCCCTTCCCCTCCTCCGTCCTTCCCCTTGAATCGACCTCCAGCCGCGTCGGCTTGCATAGCCGTCACCATTACCACCGGACCCACGGCCCCCGGCTTCCACCTCCACAGTCTCTACCTCCGCCTATTCCATAGAACGATCTGTCGATCTCCAACGACCAGGCCTTCTCTACCGGACCAGATCTGTAGTTGCAAGGAGGGAAGAGATGAGTGCAGACCAGAGGATGAGCGGACCAAGAAGAAAGAAGAAAGAGAAAAAAGAGAGAAAAAAGAAGAAAAAAAAAGAAAATAGTAAAATATGCCAGATGGATGTACACTTAGGCGGTCAACCGGACAACCGGTTGACAACCTATTGAATTACTGATTTGGTCATTTTTTGACAGTACATAGACCTGATTGACTCAAAAAAAAGTACATAGACTCAATTGACTTTTTGTTAAAAGTACGTGGACTTTTTTTGACAGTTTTCCCTATATATAGATACTCGGTATTAGATTGGAATTAGGAAACCATAATATAGATGTTTTTTTGGAATTAGGAAACCATAGAATATTTTCAACTCCAAAGCTATGACGTAAAACGGTATTAATTCATTGCCAGAAAACCGATAACATTTATAATTCATAATAATCAACTGATAATATCTAGTAAGCATTTAAAACACTTTTATAATACAAAAATGCTAGAGGTACCCCAATTTGTACCCCCACCCTATTTTTGTGGCTCACAAAAGTAACTCATTAAAGTTGAGCAATTCATTTATTGAAGTGGGCTTTTGTGAGCCACACAAATAGGTTGGGGTACAAATTGGGGTACAAAATGGGGTACCTATAGCAAGGTTGTTTATAATATTTCAAAGTATAATTTTGGCCTTATTATACGTAATATTATTTGTTATTTGTATAGTACATTATAATATAATTTCAAATATGTGTTGTCTGTAATGTACTACGTACATTATAAAATAATTTGAAATATTTTTCTTTGTTAAATAAATTCTTCATATATAAATATAATACATACCAACCTTTTTTATTTAGGGTATTGAAGTAGCGATTTTATTGATTTAAGATATGCTTAAAATTCAAAAAAAAAATTGAAGAACACTTCTATACCGGGTTCTTCGGGGATTGTCTGGGTTTTTCTAATCATGGTCCGAACTGGACTTTTCTGCGTTGTTTGGTTTTTTTTTTGGCCATATTCGCGTTTTAACTACCTCAACCGGTTTTAGGTCCAGATCGCTGGTTTGTGGGTCGAGTTGACCGGATGAGGACGGTTTTGAAACATGGCTCTAAAGTAGACACATTAAGGACAAACAATGAATTTAGTTGGACTTGCTTCAGTTTCAGATCAGATCGAGTAAACTTAAACATAAGACACATGAATACCGGATCAGACCAGACTAGTTTAAAGTTTAAACCAAATCAAACCAGAATTAATTACACAAGACCAAATTAGAAAATTGTAGTCCAATTAAAAACATTCTAATTAGCTTCATTTACTTTTTCTATCCACATTTAAAGTCCTTAGTTTTTGCTTGTTTGTTAACGAAATAAGGAAGTGATTAATGGTATGCACGGTGTAGCGTGAGAGAGATATACCAAAAGATTAAAAGCTCGTTTGGTGAGCCTGTTTTTGGCTTGTCATGCTTATCAGCTCACCAAACACATAATTTTTTATTTCACGCGTCGAAATGTGCAATAATAAGAAAAAGCAATATTGAAGTTACTTTTCTGACTATATTGGCTGAAATTATTGGAGATGGTCATTTTAGCTGTTTTTCAATATAATTTTTTCTTTATTTTATTAATAAAATATATTTTAATTATAATTTTTTCATAAATCAGCAGAATCAGGCACTTCAGCCATAACTTCATAAATTTCAGCAGAATCAACAACATGTATTATCAGACATTTCTCTCTCCTTTTCACGTTTTATGTGTATTTGGTAAGTTTTTCTCAATAATGTTAACCATAATGTCTACATCTAGACATTATGTTTGATATTGTGGAGAAGAACTTACCAAAAACATATAATACCGTTCAAATAAGGAGAGAGATATTCTATTTGTTGTTTTTTAATTGGATATCTCTCACGCCACGAATGTACTGTTCACTGTTTCTTTTGGAAGAATGAGATTAAAGTTCAGAGGGAGTGTTGACTCCCAACACTAAAAAAATTCACGAGATTGACATGGACCTAAGATGGAGTGATCAATGATTTCGTGCAAATAACTCATCCCGAAGTGTTTTTGGTAGAGATTTGGCATATTCTGTCAAATCCTCTATGGATATTGACAAATTTGCTTTTTTTGCAGTGCAATTACATTTACTTGGGGATGCAGTTTGAAATATAAGCTGGATTATATCGGAATAATTTTTTTTTTTTGTAATTTGACACATAAGCTCTTACATAAAAATATGTACTAAGTTTTGTACATTGTTGTCCTATTGGACTTCAAGTTGTGGAAGAAGGTCATGATTTAACTTCGTGCTTCGTAAGTAAAGTATGTGGAGTAATTATTCAAAGAAACACTTGTTTGAATTTATGACAGGACTTTTGAAAATATTGCTAACCTTTAGAAAGTATTGCACCCCTTTATTTTATAATGGCTTCTTTCCCGGCCATCAAATCTCTTTTTGAAAGTATCTTTAGAAATTAGAATAACGACCCAACTTCGACAAATAGAAAAAATATCAATGCAGTTAATTAACAAATAACAAGTCTTCGTTTTAACGCTTAATATGATTATATTTTGGCTTTCCAGCCAGATAGAAATGTTTATTTCTCAATTTTATATAAATTGTAGTGTGTGGGACACATTAAATGGAAAAAGTTTGTTTGCAAATACATACTACAGATGACAACACGGTATGTATAAATGATGTTTTGAGGAAAAAATGTCATACTATGATAGCAAAAGTAATCTAGGCTTGAAAATTCCTTATTATATTGGGGTTTCTTTTTAGGGTTTTCCCTAAAGTAACTATGTTTCACTATACGGAGTATTGACATTTAACTCTAAGAAAATGATTACAATTACACAAACATAAAATGTGATTGGCAATGTAAACATTTATTATGTCACCATGAGTGACCAGATTTATTGACAATATCACTGCGGCCACCCATTCGGCCATTCCATGACTAACATTATTGATGGGATCACAGCAGCCGCCACCAATGTTATTATGACCATTGACCATTTTTTTCCAGTTACGAGTACTTTTCTTGACAGATTTTCCAAGAAAGGAAAAAATGTCCCTATATGTGTGGAGAAATGAGAATAAATCTGGACCGTGATGAAAGAAGCAACACAATAATCGGTTAAATTCTTTGCTCACGGTGCAAAGAGACCTTCTTCTATCTCACGGTGATAGATGACCAATTTTAGCTAAAGAAAATACTCTGCCTTTTATTCAAAGAATGTTGGGTATATATACCTAGCTAATGATCTGGAAGAGAACATCGAATAACCTCTCCTCAGATTAGTAAAACTATAGCAGTAGTAGTATTCTAGGAGTCTACTAAATAAAATAGTAATGATCTATTAGGAGTCTACTTGAATAATTAAATAAATAAAATAGAAGTAATGGAAAATAATAGTGTACGATACTTCCCAGGCAGCAGTTGTCCTTATCCTATGCCACGTAGTCATCTAACCGTGTACTCCTCCTTCGTGCTCTCTTGCTATGCCGCTGATCTAGCAGGTTCTCATCAATGCCATCCCCTTGAAGTTGAACCTTGTCCTCAAGGTTAATAGTCGGAAACTGCTGCTGCAAGTTCTCAACCGGTTCCCAGGTTGCATCATCATCAGAAAGGCCCAGCCATCGCACTAAAGCCTCTCGGATTATCCCAGTAGGAGTTCTTACTTTTCGGATACGTATGATAGCTTCTGGCTCAAATATAGGTTGGCCATCTTCAGAATATGGTGGCAGCTTTGGACTAGTAATTTCTACAGCCCCAACACACTTTTTTAGGAGAGATACATGAAATACCGGATGAATTCGAGAGGCATCCGGTAATGCTAGTCGATATGCCACTTCACCTACTTTTTCAATAACTTTGAAAGGACCGTAGAATTTACATGCTAATTTCTGGCTGACTCTTCGGAAGACTGACTGTTGTCGAAATGGTTGCAATTTGAGATATACTAGGTCCCCGATCTCAAAGTGAACTTCTCTCCTTTTTGCATCTGCCAATTGTTTCATTCTATTACTAGCAAGTAACAGGTTGTTGCGTAGTACTTGGATCACTTCCTCCCTGGAACGCAATTCTTTATCCACTTCTGCCAGGGGCGAGGGATCTCCTATATAAGAACGAAGCATGGGAGGTGATCTACCATAAACTCCCTCAAAGGGCGTCATATCCAAGGATCGAT